CTAATGTGAATTGTTTTTTGTATGTATATTTTAAGATTTTGCAACACATCGCACAGATTTGTGATTTTTGCCAGTTTTTCACAGTTAAACATGGTTTTATCACAAACTGATTGCGTGTATATTTGCCAACTTAACCCCCTTCAATCACAAACCGATGGAAACACACTGATAGCAGACCGACTTCATCCTATTGCCACTTTATTGGCGTCTTGGTTAAAGTTGCTTTAAAGGCTTTAAAAGTCATTTAGCTTAAACGTTTATGGCTTTGATTATTTTGGTTTTTCTGCAGTTGAGCCACTGTTTTCTCTCTGTAGATGTAGCTGTAGCATTATTTAGCACTAATTAGCCAGTATGCTTTTCTCTAGCTAAGACTGTTAGCATTGGCCACAGATCTCCAAACCAGACGGTGGCTCATCCAGGTCTTATTCAGTCTTTGGGACTGACTAACTCCTGGAGCCAGTCTCCAGTAGAGCCTGCCAGGAACAATCTACATACTATTCTCAAAATCTATGTAAACTAAACTGCAAATCTACTGTTATAGAAAATACTACATGTATCAGATCTTATGGTTTGTTACATTTCAGAGAACTAAAATAATTTAAAGTAGATTCATCACTTCATTATTTACAGAAAGATTATACATGAAGAAATCTTAAAGCCACAGAGATGAACACTTTACCCACCCAAAACCCACAAACCCAAGACACAGCACCCATATTATTTAGAAATAAATTCTAAGGAATAAAAATGGAGGCCTCGGCTCCCTGGTTCACTGCTTTAGAGCCTTTTTTGGCAGCACAGTGCATTATTGATAAAATCTGTGTATTTATGTATTTTTCTGTCTGGTTCTCCTGCAGACGTTCATAGTCCTGAACAAAGGGAAGGCCATCTTCCGTTTCAGTGCCACATCCGCCCTCTACATCTTCAGCCCCTTCCACCCTATCCGGAGACTCGCCATCAAGATCCTCGTGCACTCATATCCTTAAGTACACAAACTCTGCTGCTACTGTCTGCACTTGCCTTATGATGTGCAGAGAAATGGCTGCGGGTGGGGGTCAGGGGTCAGTTACAGAGGAGCCTCCAGTGCTTTCAGTGTGTGCTGAAGGATGCTGTGTGAGAGAAGCCAGGCCACCCTGACGGCAACAGAAGCAGTTGTTGTGGTTGTTGTTTTGCCTTCGTCTGTGCTTCACTGCGTCTCACTGTGACTGATGGGGCAGCGATATCTCGGATACTGTTTTATTTTGATCACAACCATCAACGCAGTCCTGTATAAAGAGAGCATCACGCACAGTTTCACAAGTAAAAATTAGAGGGTTAGAAAAGCTTAGCTTCATTC